AATGGCCAGCACCTTGTTGCTGGTGGCCACATAAAGAAGTACACCAAGACCCTCATTTTTTTTGCTTTATGTTCTCCAGTATAAGACAGAGTTCTTCAATGCTGGTTGCCAAAAGGTTGTTCAGTTGCCCCCCTCATATACTGTACACAATTAGTTTTAAAGAGCTGTGACATCACAACCATCTTGGATAGTGCGTTTGATTACAATAACGAACACCAAAGTCCTATGCTTATGCATTGAGTGGTGTCGAAAATGTATATTAAGCCGTCTAAAATGTGATGAAGTTAGATAGTATTTAGTTGATATACATCTTGTCCAAGAGTAATCCAATTATCATCATCTTTATCTGTGTCGACATAGCAAGTTCACCCATGCACACATGCACAGATTCTGAAATAGTTGTACTGTACTAGGTGGGTGTACAAGAGCTCTAACAGTCAAAAGCATTTGCATAATCAATAAAGCAAAGATACACTTTTCTTCGATACTCCTTGCATTCTAATGACCTGAAGGATGTTGCTGGTCACTAATGCCCATCCCTTTTTTGGAGCCTACTTGTAGCTTTCTCTCAATATATTGTTTTTCATTAAGATCATCAGGATTTTTACCTGTGTGAGGAATTGGTGCTTATGCTACTGTTCTTACCATCCATCACTGATGTCCATCTTTATTAAAGAGGAAAACCAGTCTTCTGATTAAACAAATTCAATATCAAATTTAATAATAAAAAAAAAAAAACATGCTTAGACCTGACATTTTTAAGGATCTAAATTATTTCTATAGAAACATTAGGGCAACATACAAGAAAAACAAACTAAAAACACTAAAAATTATCTATTGCAATGAAAATATCTATACAAATAAATACATAAAGTACCAGTATTTAAATAAAGGAATCTTTGAAAATCAAGGATACAGGCCTACATAAAACAGTGGCTCTGAATTATAGGCCCTGCAAGTTCCTATTTCTGTTTTTCACCATCCATCAAATGACATTTATTTATCCTCTTTCAAGGAGCAAACATATTTTGATTGCCTATGAATTACATTTGAACACTCTCTACGAACTTTTGAAATTTGACAGAACTATATTTGGAATTTTATTTTGCTGTTAGAATGAACAAATTAGTTATTTTCTCAGATAAATATTTAAATTTATGACCAGAAATAATGTAACAGAGTAGACAGACAAACCCATCCAGCTGTGGAAGGAATAAGAAAATTACATATGAATTATTCGATCAAATTTAGCCTGTAAAGCTGCGTAAATTGAAAGAAGAGGTAATAAAACAACCATAAAATGAAATTTATAACTTTTAAGGACAGATTATATAAACAGTAAAGACAAAATAATATGATTTATACATTCTACTGGGAATAGCTTGCCCGTTTAGTACTTTGGAATTTCTTCTTCTGTGAAAAAAGGTTTTAATAGGATATTTTCAAAGTACACATTATATCACAGCGAACAACTAAATATTGAGCCTTGGTCAAATCAATGTACTATCCTGTTTGTGTACAACAGAAAAGTATGTTTCAAAATGAATGCAAATCTCAGATACACAATGAAACTTTATTCTCAAAATAGTATAAATATAGCTATGAGATATGGTTTCATAAGCACACTCGAATTACTATACGCCTAAATGAATATAAATGTGTGGCATTTCAAAACAAAAAATATCAAAAAATAATGAGACGAAATAAATACTAATAAATTATTAATAAATATTAAATAAATGTTAATGATTATAATACGATAAGCTTATGATATTAAGCACTACTTAACTTTAAAAATTACTTAGGTATACAGAATCCCCTTTACCTATACTAACACTAACTTCTGTTGAAATACTGTAAAACCCTGGGCTTCTTTTCTAATGGGCTTATTTTTGAGATTGTTTCTGCAAACTAAATAGACTTCTTTTAAAAATGAATGCTATATTTGGAACTATAAATCAGTGCAGCATGACTAAACACATTTTTCAACAATGAAATCTGAAATTCTATTTAATATATTCAAAAATTCACAAAATTAAAAACATCATTTTTTTCAATTATAATGATCGAAACATGCCAAAGACAATCTGTTGGACAACGAAATATATAATAAAAAATCAAGAATTGATAAAATTTATTACCATAAATTAACAAGTGATAGGCCTAAATGTATGTATAATGTAATTTGTTTACACTTGTAATATACTAATCAAATTAACAATTTTCAATCCTTTTTAACGAATTTAGCCAAAGTTAGCTTCAATCTTGGCAACCTTCTTAAAAACACAGGGCAAACACTTTCTCCCTTAAGCAGTTTCTACAATTGGAATGTATGCAAAAAATCATGTTGACTTAACCCAGTCCAGTTTGACTATAATCGTGCAGAATTTTAATTTTAACCATCCTAAAATATAATACAGATACCGACATACTTGAAAAACCACATAGGCCGACCACTGATCAATAGCTATAATCAATTCTATTGTGTACAAGTGTACAATGCCCAACTGTTGCCTTTAAATGAAATACCGGTACATTCCATTTTATGTTTGGTTTACGAGTTTTGAGTAAATCAAATTTTTACATTAATTTCACAATTGGAAATTGCCATTTTGTGCTATGCTAATGCAGATGCTTTTTGTGATGCAACATACAACCGATACTAAATGTTTGATTACGTGGTAGCTTTCGATAATGTGATTGGTCAACCAATTTACTAAACCGAATAGCTAATGGCATGGTCAAAACAGCGATGAAAAAACATTTGAGTCGCTTGCAGCTGATGTAGCCTAACCCAACTGACATTTTGTTAGTCCAGACATTAGGCCTACTACACACACTGCTCCATTATCGTTGGCTGGTTGTATGCCAAAGTCTTAAAATGTATACTTTATACTGCTTCATGTGTGCTTCAAATGTATACTACATATTGCTTCATTATCATTGCAAATTTTATCTTCGACAAATATTGTAAAAAATACCTTTATATTGCTTGGATGAAACGCAATGAGCTGTACAAGAACATGTAATATTTTACTGAATTTGACTTTAATTCTGCCCTGGTCCGTAGAAAAAAAAAAAAAATAAATAAATAAAATAAATACATAATCCGGTAACTTCACACGACTCCTAAGTACAGGTTGTTGTGCAGCTCAGTTTCATTCAGTTTACTTACTATATTTTAGTAAGAATTTTTTTTTTTTTTTTAAGGGTAAAATTTTACTGTAAATTGCTTGGTTTTGTTTTTGTTATGCTATTTATCCTTTTGTTGTTTTTGAACTGTCTTTGCTTTCCTTTGCTTATATTTTATATTGTTAATGGGTGCACCATCTAAGTGATGGGTGCCACTGATCTAAAAGTGAACCCAATAAATCGTATTGTATCGTATCGTATCATTGGCAATGTTTGCCAGTCGTATGCCAAGTCGAAATTCCTATTTTGTACTATGTTATTATGAAAGTTTGATACTATTTCTTGTCATTGCTTCGAAGCAGCCAATTCATATTCTTGACGGCAATTTGACCTCTGAAAGGTCATTGTTTAAAAACAGGCGCCTAAGATGACTGAAAAGCGGAGCTTCCTTCTTTCGTTCTGCCCGGTAAAATCAATTACTTTAGGCGACGTTTGTAGACTAACCCACTCGTACCAACGTCCGCTTGTCCGAAAAATTACGACTTTGTTACCCAATGAGAAGTGTTCTAATATAGACAATGGGTCGTGTCTCATATTATTTGTGATATTTTTATTATTCATTATTTTCAATTGACTCGCATAAATAATTTTGTTCTAAGAACATTAATATGCAGTTGTACTTCGCAGAACTTCACTTGCAATTTGCAATTTCTAGTTTTAAATGTTATAGATGATTACAATGTAGCCACAGAGCCCTGGGTGGCTGGAATGGAAACCTGTTAAGATATGGTCTCAGGAGAAAAATAAACAATGATAGTAAAACAAAACTTTAAACCACCTTGTGAATGTACTGTAAATGGTAAATTAGTTTCCTGGCCAGATCTGGTGTCGAGGGTCATTAGTTATGACACACATCCCGTAGTCTTCATCATCATTGTCAACGTTCATTGTTGTAAATGAAGTGGAGTTAAATAGCTTAGTAAAGATGCTTGCCTTCTAATCCCAGGGTCCTGGGTTCAATTCCTGTGATAGCAGAACTTTTTCTGACGACTAAAAACAACTCCACTCCCTAAGCCTCATAAAGACACACTGATATTCGCATCAGATTATTTCATATATTTGGAGGCCCCCTGAATATCACCTGACCACCTAGGACATGCCGGATGGTAGAGTCGTCCTCAAACAAAAAAAAATCATTGAAAGTATCATTTGATCCCTAATGAGGAGTATAGTTTGGCAAGGTAAGGGCCACTCAGAGCTACTTGGTCTGAGTGGCCCGACGGACAGAGCTCGTCGGGCAGTCAGACCATAAAACATATAAAAATAGGCCCGTACCAAGCCAACACATGTCTGTCACAGTCTGAGAGTACCATTTTTGGCCATCCAGAGGTTGATATTCTTTAAAAAAAATCACATTTGGGAGGGGAAACCCCCTCTCAACCCCTTCCCCCAGCTCGAGCCTATGAGCTCAACTCCCCCATCGGACAACTTAGCCCCCCCGCCCCCAGAAAATATATCCTAGAGCCGCCACTGCTTGGAGGGGGGTCCAGTAGTGAAGCAATCGGAAGCTCTGACAATTTAGGGAATTGAAATTAATTGATTTTATTTTAGAGTCTCATAACCTATGAAAAATTGCATACAATTTTTTTTCTCCAAAAAAAGGAGTCCATGACTCTCCCCCTCCCTCCACTGCACCACCGCTGGCACCATCACCGATTCAAATTGACACATCTAGAACAACTGGAATTGAAAAGAGTTGGACGGCCATGTACAAAAGTTAAATTGGATGATAAAAAGTGCAAGGCCATATATAAACGTTATGAATATGCAAATCCTAGGCCGGCCAATTTCTTTTGCTGGTCTTGTGATGATGATTCTAGTTTGTTTCTATTTGTTTTCTTGTTTATTGTTGCTTTGTTGTGGCCATCAATGGTCTCTTTAAGGTTTCCAGTGCAACTGTAACTAATTTTGACAGGGTTTCGATTAAACAATTTATGTAGTGTGTGATTTTGTGGGAATGCTTGATCTAAAGCCTCGAGGAAAGTTTTCCTGACATTGGTGGCAACACTCGTGCTGTACGGTGGATATATTTGCTCATCATATGCTGTACATTGTGTGATATTTTCGCTAAGTTTCTACACAAACTGTAGTTATTCATGGTGAAAAAGACTGCAGGAGAGGTAAAAATATCTGTTATTAAAATATGAAGATTTAAAATCCACCTTGCTGAATTTGTATTATTATGAGTTGTGTTTATTACATATATAAAATGTTATACATAAATGGAAATATGAATTTTGTAATTTTTAATTTTTTTAATACATTTTTCAGTATTAAACATATTTACAATAAAATTGATAGATAAAAATAGAAATAAAAAAATAGAAACTATGGTACAGTAAAATGAAAATTAATTACAAACATTAGCATTGTATAAAAAATACTTGGAAACATAAATAGCACAAAAATATGAGTTCTTATAAAAAAAAATAGAAAATGCAATTATTAATAAAAAATATCATAGATTATTATTAAAACTATTATTACTATTAAAACTATTATTTTGCACTCTAATATAGAAAAGCACCCAAAAGACAGACAATTACAGTAATCCGCTATTAAATATCATTTCAATAATCAGCTCTATCATGATTTCTCAGTTTATCAGCAAATATTTTTTATCTTGTATTATTCAAAATTCACCTCTCAAGCAGAAATCTACAAATAGGTACAGCTACATACATTGTGAAATTATAAACCAATTACCCTACTTATCATAATTATATTATAAATTAGTTAAATACATTGAAATTATGTCGGTTTGTTCAGCATAGAGCTTACATCACTTTCTCTCCACTTTAATTGAATTATTTGCTGTCAAGACATTACATCTTAATACTAGTAAATGCTAAGACGTGATCGCTTCTTTAATCCCGGCCAATGACCAATGCAATTTTTTCTCTTTCCTCTTTGGTAATTTTTTTAATTCACAGATAATTGGCCTTGGTGGGGATATTATTATTGTTAGCAAATTTTCTTCCTGTGTCTGTACAATAATTACCCACCACATACCAGTCTCAATATTCTGATTTGTCACACAAACTATAACAAATATGTCATCTCATGGCTAACATATAAAACAGAAAACAATGCAACAAAAAGAAATTACAGTACTGTAAATTTAAATGCCTATCTAGTTGATCCAATTTCAGCAATTGAGTAGTGGGCATGACTTTGCTCTTACCAGCTGTGTGAAAGACATATATTTTTTTATCAATTAGTTGACTTTTCTAATTTTTCATTTTTTTGTTCATTTTTTACACNNTCTTGTCATCAGACAGTTCCAGGCCTTTCTACTGTCAGCCATCAATCTTCGGACCCAAAAATGAATAAGAGTATTTTATGGTTTTTAAAATTAAAATTTGTTTTAGGCATATGTCTTAGAACATTAGAACAGTTGAAAGGGTTCAAACATTTTGATAGGTAACAACATGGCTACACAGCTCCTAGATCCCACTGTTACCCATCAGAAAGCAGAGGGCGTGTGTCATGCATATTTAGTCGAGGGTGACTATACACAATCCAGTGAGCAGTGTAGTATTATCAAGCTGGTCATTCAACCTTGAGAAAGGGTTCTGATAGCTATCGAGAAACACAAGTTTATTTCCAATTATAGTTTCAGCAAAAATGACAGTTATAATCATATAAAATAAAGTACTTATAAGCGACAATTTTTTTTGTTTTTTTTTGTTTTTGTTTTTGTTTTATTTTTGGTAATTAAGTGTTATTTTTAGAATTGTTTGTAAATGTTGCATATTGATTGTGTAAGTTCAATGTCAACAGCTTTTGGGCTGCTTGTTGTGCATGTTGTGTACCTGAATAAATAAAAAAAATGAATAAATTAATTAATTAATATATAAATTCCTTGCATTATGAACCTGGTGACTAGAAAAAAATGCCTGTATGTAACACATGCTCAGCTCCATGTTGCAGCTACAATATTAAACTTCAACTTTAACATTGAGAGGCCAAGTCTTAACTAAATACACCAAGTGCTCTCCCAACATAAGTATTTCTTTTGCATTGCTTGAAAGTAGGATTCAAAGTCAACAAGGTTTTTATAAAATTTTAAAAGACATTGTACTTTGTGCTAAAAATAAAATATTTATGCTTATTTGCTTCATAAATTTTAAAATGTACATAAGAATGATTAATAATTACACATTATGAATTTGGTTGGCTATGAATGATGTAAGAATTCTAAAAATGTCCACATTGTTGTTACAATGACAAAGAAACTTAATTACTGTGAATTTCCTGGATCAGTCAGCTCAGTACACTTTCCCACTCAGTTCACTTGTACTTTGTATCGCTTCCTCTTAGTATCAACAACTAGGATTTGCACTCATTTCTAATCCCCATTCGGTGGACTGGGTTTGAAGGTTTCTCTTGTAAAATGATTTTAGTTTGGCTTTATTTTGACCACATTTCCTCTATCGTTCATGACTGTCAGGTCTGAAAACCACACATACTGTAATTTCAATCAGATTTCAAACTTGTATCTTATTGTTTTTCTATATTTTTTATGCTGACAATGCCATAACTAGGATGTTGTATCAGATGTGTTGAATGTGTATATCTTAAAGATGCACTGTCTGTCATGAGCATACATAATCAAAATATTCAATTCCATATTTAATTTGCTTAAATTGTAATTTAAAATCAATGTTTTAGTTATAATCTATTTTAAAAATCTCATTTATTTTTTATCTACTGTATTAGAAAGTCCATAATTATCAATCAGGCAATTGCATTCAGTCAAAAATGTTTATAGTTATTACAGAAAAGCCCCCTATTAAATATATACCTTAGTCAGTGGTGGATCTAGGGATGGGGGAGCACCCCAAAAAACACCTTTGTGACCTAGAACCCCCTTCACTTAATCATTGAGCCCCCATGCCCCCCTCCCCATTTCAAGACTCCTAGATATGCCAGACCTTAGTAACATAATTAAAAATAAGGTTAAAGGGAATTCATTATAAAATAAAACATTAATTAAAATAGTCTCCTGATTGCACTACCCAGTTTTACACATAGTAAATCTAAAAGAAGTAATAGGGGCAAATCCAATACTTTCACAATACATCTAATTACAATAATTATCAATAACATACAGTATCCTATAAAGTAAAAAACTATATAATTATGAATTTTCAAGTAAGGGAGTGGACTATTATTAAATCGTTCTATTTTGTAATTATAATGTTTGAATTTATTCAATTTCACGCGAGTTATTGTTGTGCTACTCTTAGATATGGGAAACCTATCAATGAATATTGATTCAGCAGCCAAAACACCATGTAGTTAGATATCTCACAAGCCAATATTGGTAAATTCTATGTTTTCATATCTTCACACAGGCCCCCGTATATCCCAATTATGACAGGTCCCCAGTATTTTCCTAAACAATTTGTGTTGAAAGAAATTGAAAGGTGTTATGTGTCCTAGGACACATTGGCGGAGAAAGATGTGTATTTTTAATACATTATTAGCATTTTGTATTTGCAAAGAAAGGTGCAATAAATATTACCATTGAACTGCATAAAATCATAGGTCAGGTCAATAACTACTACCTGATGGACTGATGACATTTCAATGCAGATACATTAGCCGCCAGATTTTTTTTTTGCTGCAGTAATACCACATGTGAAAAGCTACGTTCCTACCACATTCGTCTCTACCCTTTATCATAAACACACTACAACCCCACTCCCCCGCCCCCGAAAAAAAACTATGATAGTAGTATTAACAGGCTCTAAAACTAAGCACTAAATTAGTATAGATATCCATATTTAATTGTAATAAATATTAAAAAACTAAAATAATTCATTTTCAAGATACAGTAGTTAGTATCTCTATTATTACAAATATCTCTAAAAATATTGATAGTTATTGATTGTTCTATAGATTTTACCGAAACAATTTGAAATAAATTCTAGTCATTATTTTTGTATAGAAGTCTCTATTTTGCAATCCTTTAACTCCACGCTAATGTAGACTTGAGAGGCTTATTTATTCAATTTCAGAAACTCATAATCTTTAAAAATTATATAAGGCTATCTACAATTTTCACTAACTTCAATGATCTGAAAACCGGAAACGCTGGCGTCCAAGCCTGATAGGCTGACATAATTTATTGGTTTAAAACAAATTTAACTACTGGTATTAAAAATTTATTATACCACTTCCATGGTTAATGATGTACAATCTTTCTCCTACATAACATTTTAAAAAATTGTATTGAAAAGTGGGAGGTTGTACATGCCCATAGGACTGCCTACTTTTAATTTGTCAAGGGTGCCCGTCTTTTCTTTTATCTTGAGAATATTTGCATTATATGCACATGGATTTGGAAAAGAACAGTAAATAAAAGAAAAGAATAACAGAAAAGAAAGATAAAGGAAAGAAAAAGAAAATGTAAAAGGGGGAAAGAAGAGGAATAGAAAAAAATGGAAATATAAAAATAAAGAAAATTATTGAAAAATAAGATGAAGAAAATAATACAAATTACAGTGACTGGAAATAAAAGAAATGAACAACATAAAAAAAGGAAAGATGAAATAGAAAAAGAGAAGTAGTGAAATAAGAAAAGGAAAGAAAACATATAAGCAATATCATAAACTAGACACAACCCAAAACTATCGACAAAGAAGCTGACACATACTGAATGCCCAACATATCAGAGAAGCTATATGGATCTGGAGATGAGGAGAGAAGACTATGAAAAAATAAAGTTCAAATAACAAACCTTAGAACAAATTGATACCTCAATTCATTTGTACCACTATCCATTAGAATTCTTAATCAAAATATCTAATAAGCTTTCGGACCTAATTAATATATTTATATTGTTGTTGTTTTGTATTAATCCTGCACTTTGTTTTGCGAAGTGATGTACCAACTCATTTTCTGAAAGGACACAAATAAAGAGTCTTGTATCTTAAATGAAGGCACCCATTAGATGACCCCGTCATTACACAGAATTGGCCCTCTATTGGTCGATCGTTGTGTGTAGTGTCAGATTGTCATTCTGATGAAGCTGGCTATAGTGAAAGGACAGCAAAATTGTCAAGGCTAGTAAAACTAAGTTTGTTGGTTTGAAAAAAAAAATTCTAATACATATCATACGCAAATTCCAAAGAAAACAGTCAATCATGACGTTTCCACTGTAACTCCTAATGTTATTTTCCTACCCCGAACCATGCCATTAGTGTACAGTTTGCTTGACCTTTTTCTGGTTCGTTTGCAAAAGGTCAAATCTAATAGTACTGTATGTATCGGGTACCACAATGAAATCTAGGCTAGTGTTTTACACCTAGCAATACAACATGCGCCTGCGGAAAGAAAGGGCAGACACTTGCCCAATAGTTGCTGTTTGTTGTGGTAATTGAAAAAATTACTTTCGTAGAACCATGGAGTTGTTTTAGACCGCAAGGAAATTCACTTCAATTTCAAAATAATGTATGAAAGATTAAGGAATTCTTAGAATCAATTGACCCTAATAAACTAAAGAAACTGAACATTTAATAAGAATATAGACCAATTTTAAAGACTTAAGGAACAAATTGAGATGCAGGCAGGAAGGCCACCAAGGCCCTAGCCTAGATCATAGCCTAACCCAGATGAAATCATTAAAACGATTTTACCTATCTGCACCAACCAAAAAAGCGATTCATGTAATGCTTGAAGAAATTTTTATTTTTTTGACAAATATCTATCAAAATAGTAAACTTATGACAACTAATTGCTTATAAGTAAATTATATTATTAAACTGCCTTTTTGAATAATTTTTTTTTTTCATTTATTTTTTGCAATAAACAGTGGAAATGGTCTGCTTTTGCATAGGTGGGACAGAAAGCAAATTCCTGGATCTTCCTGCAGCACTTGACACCTGAAAAATTTCAGTGAGGTTAGTCATTGCAAGATGTACTGATGAAAACGTGTCCACTCTGCCAATCCATTTTTGTCTCCATCAAAATTCCTTTCCTTACAAGTAATTGAGTATTGTTTATAAATTTTTAAGTATGTTAGCCCTAGTCTTTAGACTATAGGTTTTCAAGACATTTTGTAGGGTAGCAAATATTTATGGAAAACATTATTTTAATAGATGCATGTATCACCAGTGGGATATTGTTGTCGGTGGCTATGTTAACATGTGATCTGACTGCCAGCCTTGCTTTCTGAAATATCAGCAGAGTGTGTATGAAGCTTTTTGTCTGAATAGTAATAATCTTTGTTAACTGTAATCATAAAACTTTTTTACCCTGCGGGTATTGTCACAAGTAGCCAGGGAGGGACATTAATATAACTATCGCAATTGTCAAAGCTTTCGTTTTGTTTTGTAATCTGGTATATGTTCATGAAGTATAGTTAACATACTTTGGAGTATTATTGTTTTTATTTCGCACATTATTATTGCTTCATTAATATGTTTTTTCATTATTTATAATGTAATTAACGCACTACCCAAGGCAAGATGTTGTACCACAATGTATATTCCTATTCCTGTTTAACAGGCATGCAAAGTTGATTCATTTGACTTCTTTCAAGTTGACATTGATTTCCATGCTTGTTTATATCAACCAAATTTATAAGGAAATTTAAGGCCTCATCTCTTGGTAAATTCATGTTAAGAATTTAATTTTAAGTTAACTAGTAGTCATCTTGTAGGACCTTAGCTAGTGAGGATGTTTTTAGTGGAATGATCCATGGTAACATGTCTTTAACAAGTCAAAAAAATTCTTCAAAGTGCGCCTTATAACGTGCGCGCAAGCGTGCGTCAGAATTTTAAAATGCTCAAAATCACTTTTTGACTAAATAAGAGCATGTTTCAGGGCATTTTGAGCATTTCAAAATGTTTCTACATTTTCGTACTGACGGAAGCCAGGAATTATGTTTTTTTACATATTTTGGGTTCCTGACATTGTTTTCACAAATTTCCATTCTTTTCAGTCATCTTATGGCCAATAGCAATGCCGTAGGCGCGCATCAAACATAGGGATCTTTGCGCGCGTTTGTGCCGATATACAGTGAAAATATGCTAAAATCAGGCCTATTTTCAATCAGTTATAGATCCTTAGGATGAAAGGTGACCCCCAATTTTTATATTCTGAAAGCACATGAGTTGTAAATATGATTTTATAGATCATAATGGCTGATCGTACATTGTGACGTCATCATATTGCCATCTGAATTCAAAGAAACAGAATTTTATCTATGACGTCAATTTTGAAAATACGCATTTGAGCGAATTTCGCTTGTCCTTGATTGATCGTCTCCCAACTTTGAGTATGTTATAGCTCAGACAATTCTCTTTCATATACTGTATGTGACTTCTTTTTACATTTTGATGATGTCATCACGGTCAAAATAAATGTTTTTTCTGACCCCCACCCCTCATCTTTCTTTCCTCAAAACTTTACGGATGATCAGAACATAGACGAACATGATTTTGAAAATCCAAAAAATTATGTAATGCGCATATAAGACGACCCCACGTTTTTCGATTGTAATTTGCTATTTTAAAATTCGTCTTATACACAAGAATTACAGAACAATTTAAATCCATCCAAACGTTATTGTTGTGAATGGCATTAGAAACTTTGTCGCAACCTGGCTTTCGTCTTTTTTGCTTTATCCAAAAATTTACCAATGGCTCCTGTTTAAGTTAATCAAAACAGAAATGCATTCACACGATAAATGTCAAGCTAAGCCTGGCTGGGTTTCCTTAAGAATCGCTGCACTATCGCTACAGTTTTTTAGTTTTTTACTGCAATCGTTGACTAGCATAGCAGTCCCGACGCAATCGGGAAAACTCAACGATACAACCAACCAATCCGCATCAACAAAAGCTGTGGACTAGCGTGTAGCAATTATGTGGACACCAAGCATTACTTACATGTATCAGGGTTTATGTTGTTTTATTTCTTACCATCAATTCTATTTATATATCCGAAGTGATTGCGTGACCAATCAAAATTTGTGGAACGGAGGTTTATGTAAAAAAAATTAAACAACAATTATTCACAAATTCATTACATTCATGCACTATAATAACTAATACAAATTTGTTATTATAATAAAATAGAACCATGTCTAAATACGCCAAACTGGTGCGACACTTGAATAAACTAAGAATACTACTGATCACATTGGAAAATACAGGTGTAGTCTCATGGTTACGAAATACAAAATAATTTGAATATGGTTACTTGCATGGCCTTCAAGCATAAAAGTAATTCTCCGGCACAACTTCCCAAAATTTTTTAACAGTTGTATACCTAACCATCTAGATACCAGTGACAGTTTTGACTGGAAAATTACTGAGGATAATTCTGGGTAAGGAAAGCGTTGATTGAATTTCGAGATACTTTGTCTAGCTCATGAAAATAGAGGTACGATACACTACACACAGTGGCTTCTAATACCATATTCAAACTAGCATTGGATTGCGAATAATTGTAGCAATTGCACCCTATCGCAATTCACAATCGTGTGTGAAAGCTCACCAATAGTAGTCGATCAGTAATCGATATCGAAATTGTTACAAGCAGCGATTGGGTGCTACAATCTTTATCACACTGATTAAAACGGAATCCGATCCAATGAATAACAACAAATTCCACAGGCACTGACTGGCTGAAGTCAGTCAACATTGGTCTAGCTGCCAGAGGTCTAGGCCCTATAACCATGTTGACATCCCGTTCCAATGTAAAGTTGTGTTGGTCTGAATGCACTCATTGATTGTGATGAAGAGCAATCAGTTTTGGATTATTGTAGTACCAATTACTTCACAAATGATTGCAACAAAGTGTAGGGTAGGGTATATAGCCTCCTCATATTTATGACAAAATCAAAGTTATTCAAGATGACAAAGCCATACTGCATAGAGGTATACTCTCTTATCATCATGGACAAGATGGTACATATATTTCCTTCACCACGTATCTTTATTGTTTGAAACATGAATGTGTTCTGTACAGTGAACGGAAATAAGAATGGGTTGATGTACAGATAGGTGTTAACATGCGATTCTGGAAAATTATATTATGGAATTCAACTACCGTGTAGTGTTTAACATGTCCTTAGAACAAAAATTGTACACAGGATTCCTAAATATGCAACCAAGCAACAATTAAGCTGTAAACCTATTTGAAGCAGTGATGTTCGCTCTATTGTAAATTCCACTTGCAATAGTGCCTACAGGCTAAGTTAGTATAATTACGAAACAGCCAGTAGGTTTCTTCAATGTTCTACATACAGTACTCCCCCATCACTTTCAAACAATATTTCACAGAATGTTCTTTTAAACTATAATTTGAATGTGTAATATGACAGAAAACATGAATGTCTTCAAAACTGTGACACACTTTTTTACACAATTATATTTTTCATTGACTTAGTTGGGTAAGTTAAGCTATATTTCTACAAACTGAATTTAAGTAGGGCAATTATTACACATACAAGTTCAGTACATTATGGAAATTCATAAGTTTCATACATATATGTATATCAGTGATATCAAAATAACAGCATGCAGCCCTCAAGCTCAGGTATAGAAGCTCCTTCAAGTTATTAGAAGTGACACGGTAACAGTTATGCATGCACAAACAGGGGTAACCAATCATATTTCCACTGTTTGAATGCAGGACGTTTATGAAACATCTCTCTGAGGGATGAATTACTCAATCATGCCTTATAAACAATGCCTGTTTTTGGCAGGATTAACCATATGCCAACACCCCTACATGGGTGCAACTCTACACCCCTTGGGACGAGTCACTCTGCATATGCCCAAGAAATCCTTAATAAATGAAGCATCTGTAAACAAACCATTAATCTTGCAGCATTCATTGCCAGAAAGTGGCAAAAATATTCAAGATGCAATTAATTATACTGCCACTGGTGTGGTATCTAAAAGCATCTGTCTACAAAATGGATGATTGGTTTCAAGCTTATGATGAATCTATCTATCTCTGGAATGCTAAATCAAAAAATGCCCCGACAACTTTATGATCTCACATCTCTGTAAAACTGCTATATGTAGTGTCCATCACACCACAGATGACAACCAAGACTCAATCTGATGGATAGATCTTTGACAAAGATAGTTTTTCAGTCCTTTCTTTGCTTGTCCTACATATTCAATAATTATTTTCAAAGACTTTGACACCCATTTGATGTATGCACATGTATTAAGTATTTCAATGCCAAAGTCAGATGGATGTAAATTGTTCAAGATTGATACATCTTCTTATTACTTTTATGGTTATGTAAGTGAGTAAAGCACATCATGGACCTAGTTCTGGCCAGATTGTTTTTTTTTTTTTTAAATCCACCCTATCATGTAGAAACATGCCTCATGTGTTTCCAACATATTATCTATATTATAATTACGCTCATTTCAAAAGCCTAAAATCATAATAGAAACCCGAAGGCCTAAATAAACATCTCTGATTCAAAACCTACTGGTGTGAAAAACTGTAACAACATAGGTCATCGAAGTCCCGATTGCCTGAAGCGATATCAATCCATATTTCAGATTAATTGTGGGAAAAATAATGAATTTTACTAATGTTTTTCATTGGATCATGTGTCTTTTACTGGACTAAATTGTGGCGTTTACATATTTCCGCATTCTGTAGCCATGTCGCAGTCGATTTTCAAGGAACAGTTGGTTAACAAACCCAGCTGATTTTTATAAAGCACTGTTGGTTTTTCAGGGTTCTCAATGAGTTACAGTAAAACTTCCTCACCAAAATATGTTGTACGCCTACCTATTGAAAATCATGTTAATTTTAATTTAATCGCGGACTACAGCGTTTTCCAAGGAAAATTATGGAGCAAATACAAGATATTTTCCCATACCAATGAGTCAAATACTGTTTCATCTCATTTAATTGTTTCTAAATATTATTATGTTATGAAAAATGATATGAATCTGTCTCTATCAAACCATACAACCTATCATTTTTTAGTGTCATATTGTCCTTTTCATCGAAACTAATTGCAACGTTCACATACTATAGCGAGCGAACCCTTTAGTTGTTATTATTATTATTAGGTATCAAAACGAAGAATTAAGATTTATTTATTTACAAGAAAAACGTCAAAATATACTTACCGGTTCCAACAATATGAAGTTTGCTTTCCAAAAACTTCAGCTGTCACCAACTGCTTTTGATGACACCAATTGGTTGGTTGAATCGGAGGATGGGGGCCCTTCGCAATTGCGACAGGATCTCTTTGGTCCACAGTATCTATAATCTGCTTAAGTGGTAGGGGCTACAAGCAAGCATGTATGGACATTATGTGGAGGCCATGAATTACAAAGGTCACGGCCAAGGTAATGGCTGAATGCACTAGAAAAATTTACATGAGACACAGGTCCTGACAATTTATGAGAGACCGGTGGAATAGAGGAAACCTTGGGAGCATTCCACCCTGGCGCCTAAAAAATTATCCAATTTCATTTTTTTTTTGAGGAACGTTTTTTATGTCTATTTTACCATCCAACATTTTTATATTTATTTATAACTGCAATTAACGAATCTAACATGAATATGATACTTTTTGACTAGGTAAGAATTGGATAGCTGAGTGGTCAAGGCAAGGACACCGCAACGTACAGCCATATCGCCGCTGGTTCGAGCGGCACGCTCGTCTATGGTTCTGGAACATGTCTTCTTGGATACGGACTATCCATAGGCCCAGTGTACACAATTTGGCTCATGTGCACTTAAAGAACCCAGTACATATTTCGAGATGAGGGGTTTACCCTGGTGTACTAGTCTATTCAGCCCCTGTTGTGGACAGAAGGGAGTAGATGGTACCAGTTTACCAGGTAGCTCAGACATGAAGAAGCAAGTTACTGTAGACGGAGCTAGTCCACACCTCGAGCACTGAGACCGTTTCAGTATACTGTAAAGCGCTATATAAATTGAATTACATACATTACATAACATGTAAAATTAAACCTCACTGTTTTGCTTTTCCAACAAATCAATTTAAAAAATAAATACTTTTTCTTTAGAACACTAGAAGGTGCATATATATTATTATTATTATTATTTTATTTATGTTTTACAAATAGAGTGATATACGCATCAAATACAGCAGAAAAAATGAACAATATGAAGGGTGGCTCACTGGGCCTTATATCCAGGTAAAACTCATATTTTTGTGTATACTCTGTCAAGTGTAGACGAGAAAGAGTGCTATATAAGTACAGTAGAACCCTTCATTTACGTACAGGCAGACGGGCCCAGAGGCGTTCGTAAAAATCAATTGTACGTAAAATCGGGGTTGTGTGAAATTTCCTATGTATTTACACTACCGATATGCTAGACTGGGCTAAGGTAGGCCTGGACTTCGAAAGAAATTCAAAATAACGATTATAAATGTACAGTACTATACATACTTGTTAATGTGTGTACAAACTTTATTAATAGGCCTATATGACTTATCTTCTAGCTTAAGAAGAAAAACAGCCCTGTGGGCACCGCAACGGGCGAGTAACGCAACGTTTTTCACTCGATCCATGTGCTTGTGGCATCAAATAAATACCTGTACAGAATAACCCGGAAACCAGGGGTTCACTTATTAAAAGAAGAGCGCTGATTGGTTGTAGACACTGCGCTTGGACTTTATTTCTTTTTTTTTTTGTATGCAATACGATTGTTCTACGCCTACATTAATATTTATACTGAATATCGATATCGATATGCCTACAACTTACGCATTGGGCGGAGTTTTCTCATGGCTGCAGACATGAAGTATGATCGTCGTCTTGAATGTCGGTGTATTTAAAGCGCACTATGTGCGTTTTGTATTTTAGTACAGATCACTGATAGTGTACAGCAAACCGTCTAAGACCGAGTGAATAAACTCCAGCACACGCCTAACAATTAATTCTTAACACGCTGTGTGTGTTTTGTACATGAAATAGGAACTTTATTTATGACAACAATGACATGATTTCACGTTTGTAAAATCGGGAATTCGTAAATGAGGGGTTCTACTCTACTGTATCAGCAGTTATTTAAACTTTGTGCACTGGGTATTTCCAAGAAACTATGTAGATCGAAATATCCCATGATGGTATCATTTGTGTTCTCAAATACAATATTCCAATTTAATTTTGTTTTGGTTTAAATATTTAAAAAAAACAGCAGTGGAAAAACAAGCCAATGGGAAGGGGCACATCCCCCTCATTCTCCCTCCCTGGATCTGCTCCTGCCAAACAGAGAGAGCCAGATCTCCCTGGCATACGGTGCTGCTATTTAACCCCTTTCCTAACTGATGCCACCAGTATTTCATGGTACAGAATTTTATACACCCATGGTATAAATTCCCATTGCGCATGCCTTCAGAACCCCTACGGATAGGTTATCTAAACACGATTCTCACCCCTGCCAAATACTCTAACTTGGCATGCCAGCTTCTGGTCTGATGAGATCACTAACATTAATAGAAATTCACTGAATATTGAACCAGTTTTACATTTCTTGTTTTCCAACTTCCTTTATTATCATTATATCTTTTAACAGCATGTATACTACTATCTGACTCTGTTGTTTGCATGATAGTGAAAATGTTACCTTTCAGAGTCTTCGTTTTTCCCTGAATGATGCTGTTGTGACAACAGCGAAAGCTCAGACTCAAAAAAACGAAGACTCTGAAAGTTAACATTTTCACTATCATTATATCTTTTATTAATATTTTATTCATTTCTGTGTTTTGTATTCTTGTTCTGGAGGATGTAGTATGGGGATATTTTGTGCTGTTATCATTTAAAAACATTACATTTTCAGAACCTCCAACAAACATAATTGATTGATGATTAAAAAAAAAAAAACAATTTCCTGACCAACCTATCTATTTCTTGGACAACACATTCATTTTGTAGTTTCATGTGGAAATATCAAAAAATAAAAGTTTTGGGCAAATATTCAAATCACGATGACAAAAATGTTGGTAATGAATTTTCCCTTTAGCAGCATAAAGGCATCAATCATTTCAGGCAGATGTGAAATTTTAAAAATTGTTGCTTGTCAATTAATGTACAAGATCCTTGCTTAGCACTGCTTCTCCAGGTGATATATTTGTTTCACATTGTTGGATCATCTGCGTTTGCCATTTTTACAGGGGATAAGTCAGCATAATTAGTCATACTTATATTAGCGAGATTACATTTTCTTTAAAGTAACTTAAATTTATGATTCGTTAAAAATATGTACAAGTTGGGGGTTGGTAACACACTTTTACAGTAAGTGGGACAATTTTACTGAAATTAGGACTGTTATAATTAATGATATACTGAAAATAGACGTATAAAATAATATCACCACATTGATTACGATACTGTAATTATATGAGAATGTAACTTAAATACAGTATTACTGAACTTGCATTCAATAACTTTGTAATGAAAGCTTCAATGTCTTGAGCAAGGAGAATTCAATGATTTATGTAAAACTTAGTAATTTTTCAAAAGCTGCTTCTGATATGGGTCGAGCATTTAAATTGATGAACTAAAAAATGTGTCATTTTTCACCCTCATCTTGTGAAAAGTAGGGCACTAAGTTTACAAACATTTATAAATTAAGCCTTGGTCATTTTCACATTAAATTGAGCTTAAAAATGTTTTAATAATTAATCTGTAGGGCAGAGAAGCTGTAAACTTTTGAAACAAATTAAATAGAAATTAATCAATGATTTGAAATAACTTCATGTTCATGTCAATGTACTATTTAAAAAACAGTAAGAAAACCATGTACAAATACTAAGACAAACAAATTTATTCACTTCTTTTAATTTACCTAATTAATAAAAATGTATCTCAAGGAAGAATTGAAAACAATTACAACATTGGCAAGTTTAATCTGTTTCAACAGTTTTGGTTAATTATAATACTGTACGGATTTAGAGAATGTAGGTAAAAATGGCCCCAATGAAAAAATTCAGTAATAGAAATGATATTTTTTTTTTAATCTTCAAATATTTAAAAAGTGTAATAGCAAGAATTGAATCAATAAATAAAAAATGGCTCCCAATTATAAAATTCAATAAAAAAAAAAATTTTTAATGCTGTAAAATACCCTGTAAATTTATAAAATAAGTTTCATTTTTTCCTTTGAAAATAGGATCAATTTATGTCATTTTTTTCCTAATTTCTCTAAAAGTATACAGTTACACAACAGATGCAAATAATGCACTGAGAGATTATCGGAAAACAATGGCCATCGAATAACATTTTTTGATAGTAGAAATAAAAGTTTTAAAAACGTTATTTCACTAACAAAGTAGAGAAATGAGATGCATAACATACAGTATTTCAAATACCAAAATATGCAACTCATAGATAACCACAGAATTCACTTTTTTAAGTATCAAATGAAATAACTTTACATGATATAAACAATGCAAATAAACAGTAGTTAAAGCATGTGGATAAATTGTGTGTTTGAATCACAAGTTCATGTATGGGAAAAGGGAGAAGCTTACTTTCTCACAAACTTAGCAAAAATGTTCTGTTTAGAGTTACTTCAAAGAAGTACAGTATTGTTAATCAAATATTGTTTTTAGTAAACTGAACAATTAGGAATACATTTACTTAAGCAAATTATTTAATTTATACTTGGTTTTTACTCCCCACCAACTACATCCAAGAGCCAACTACTGGCTCAGAAACCAGTGGCCATAATTTTTTTTTGTCAATTTATTATTTTCAAAACTATATTAAATAATGTAAACTGAGATATACTATATACATATTTATGCAAATATGGCAATTATGCTAAGAATTAAAATGGCGTGTAATTGTGAGCGTAGGGTAATTATTATGGTAGAACTAAATGCTATTGCTAAATCCCACAAACCTCCCAAAACTCACTGTAGAAAACCAAGTAATTCAATTATGATTGACTTGCTTGTTATATTGATAAGAAAATTAAAATTAAATACATTCATAACAACCTATTTTTTGGTTAAAATGTTGATTTTTTTTGGTGAAAAAATATTTGCAAATACACCACAAATCTTCAAACACACTGCGAACCACATCCAAACCCTTTAATTATGATTGTAGAACTCTCTTTTTCTTTAAAAAAATTATAATAATTTGATGTTCATATCAACCCATTGTTTGTGGGTTTACCAATACCCGGATTGAATTTCTGGAAAATTGTGATTCTGCTTCTGTGAATTTGGCCACAAATTAATTATTTTAGTACTAATAAATGCATGATTTATGTTGATTTATTGATTATGTTGTTGCTATTATTTAACATTTAAATGTTAAAAAAATGAGTGTTATTAATGGATTTTTTTTATCTTTGAATATGTAATTTCTGCAAAAAGTAAAATATAAATGGCAATTTATTTGATGTTAGATTCCTTTAAAAAAATAAATTATATCAGGTAAAAAAAATGCATATTATAATGATTTTAAAAAAATCAGTTTTAATACAGAATTATATTATTGGGGGCCATTTTGACCTACCTGTTATTTGGGGCCATTTTTTCCTGGGCCATTTTTACTGGGGCTATTTTTACCGTACACCGTATTGAGACTGCATTACTGGTAAAACTGGACGAGTATATGCATCAAACAGGGTGTTTTTATGAGTTCCAGGTCGCATATAGGTGTCCAAAATGAAATATGGTGTCTCTTGTCTAACCACAACCTCTTGGTTGGAACCTATATCATGTTTGTAAAATTTCAAT